CTATGTGCCAGACTCTGTATGAGACACTTGATGTATTATTTCTAACCCTTGTACAGCTTGTAAATTGGTTTTATCTTCCCCATTTTATAGATAACGGAATTGAAGTTTTATGAGATTAAAAATCTGCCCAAATTCACTCAGGGAGCAATAGAAGCTGGAGACTCAATTCCGGCCTGATGAACATCAAAGTCGGTTACCTTTCCACCAACAGAGTTGAAAAAATACATGAGACTCTTACTGTATGCAGTTGTCTAATCTGCTTTCCCCTCTGCAGATGAGGAAACGGAGGGCCCAGGAACACTTTCTCCCCCAGGAACAGCTTCGAGAACAGAACCCAGTTCTCAGATTCCTCCTCCTTCCTTCCCCTCCAGGACCCAGCTGCCCCAAGAGGCTGAGACTGGCTGGGAGGCCTGGCTCACCCGAAGCCGGCGCCCGAAGACGGTGACCTGGCCTCGAGCCTGCTCCTTGCGCTGCCGCCACTCCACCAGGTTGAGGCCGTTGTCGATGGGCAGCGTCACATTCCTCTTGCCCACGGTGGGGTTGACGGTCCCAGCCAGCAGGTGGGGCTCCGTCTGCAGGGCCACCTCCATGCCATTGGCCAGCAGCAGCCGCAGGGAGCCGTCGGCTCCGATGTAGTAGCTGTTTCGGACCTGGTCTGAGGAAGACATGAGGGACGAGCTCTGCTCAGGAGAGCTGAGGATGGAGGGAGGTGTGTGTACAGTGGAGGCAGTACTGTGGCTTTTAAATGTTGTGATTGTTCCGACTATAGACACAAAACATTGTCATTGAAGAAAACTGGGAAAATACATGGAGATCCATGAGCTCAGTCCCCAGAGAAAACCACTGTAAATATTTTGGTATATTCCTAGATTTTAGGATATTTCTGAATATATTTATAGCTAAAAATGGTTTATAGTGTTTTTCACTGATCATTGTACTATTTTGTTGAATATTTTTCATAAATGTTTTTCTTAATGACTGCATACTATTCCATTGTATGGACACACCATCATCCATGTAATCAGCCTTCAAATAGATATTCTGGTTGTTTCCAGTTTTTCATCATTACAAATAACACTGCCAATAAACATATTTTAAACATTAGGCTTGGGGAGAGACTATAGAACAGTGGTAGAATGTATGTTTAGCATGCATGAGGTCTGGGGTTCAATCTTCAGTATCTCTATTAAAAATAAATACATAAACCCAATTACCCCTCCCCCCAAAAATAAACAAATAAAAATAAACATTAGGCTAAGTGAAAGAAGTCAGACACAAAAAGTTACATATTGTATGAATCAGTCCATTTATATGAAATGTCCAGAATATGCCAACTCGTAGAGACAGAAAGTAGATTAGTGAGGAAAAGGAGAATACAGAATGATTGCTAATGGATATGAGGTTTCTTTTTGGGGGTGGTAAAAAATTCCTGGAATTATATGGTAGTAATGGTCGCACAATTCTGTAAGTAAACTAAAAAACACTGAATTATACTCTTTAACAGGGTGTATTTTATAGTATGTGAATTATACCTCTGTTAAAAAAATATGCTTTTTGGATAAATCAATGTCTTCATTTTGGGTTATTTAATCAAAAAAGACTCCTGAAAGTAGGATTATTAAGGCTCTCCCACTAGGGCAACAACACTCTTTACAACAAGGTAAAAACTTTAATATGTAGAACAATGACAGAATGCCAAATATATATATTATATATGTGTTTTAAATCACTGTCATATATAGACACATACATGGGTGTATATGTCTCTCTATATATGACAATGATTTAAAAATAGATCTGATTTTTAAATTTTAAATCCAGTTAAAACATTTTAATTAGGACCTTTAGCTAAAAGAAACTTCTGGAGGAAAAATAAATTTCAGCTGTAAAATGCACACTTTGTTCTTTTCTAAAAACGGAAACACCCTCCGAGTTTGTGCTGCAGTCTCCTGCCTCTTGCTGTTCCTCGGCTGTTGCTCCTGTAGGCACTGCCCCTCCGTTTACTAAATGCTAGCCTGAGTCCCTCCTTCAAGCCTCCTCCCTAAAGCTTCCCTCGTTCCTGTGGTCAGAATGAATGTTCTCCCCTCCCTTAGCCTCTTTATGGGCCTCACTAGTGGTCTTGTAGTTGAGGGGTGTAGGGTTCACCACTCTGTGAATGAATGAATTCTCAAATCCTGAAAGGCCTCCTGTGAAAGGCACTTCTGCACAGAGACTAAGAGTATGGACTTGGGAGCCAGGCTGCCCGGGTTCCAGGCCTAGCTCTGCCACTCTCTTGCTGCAAGACCTTAGGCAAATTCCTTAACCTCTCATGCCTCTGTTTCTTTCTCTGCACTTTGGGGAGAATAATTGTACTTTACCTCTTAGGGTTAAGTGAGATAATGAAGATGAAGATCTGAGAACTGTACTTAGCAGACAGTGTGCGTGAGGTTAAATGTTAGCTATTACTAGTTTTACGTGTCTGGCACTGTGCTCGTCACTGTCACGTCTAGCTCTTGTCATTGCTCCTCTCTCTCTCCCACCCCGTTTCACACACCTGTCACAGTGAACTCTTCTAGTACTGATCCTGGTCCTTCAACAGCTCCCCTTGCCTTTAGATTAGTGGTTAAGAGAATGTGTTCTAGAGAATGTCTGGATCCAAATTTCCTACTAGCTGTGTGACTTTGGACAAGCTAATTAATCTCTCGATGCCTCACTGGCTTTATCTGGAAAATGGAGATATTAAACATACCTCAGAGGGTTGTTGTGAGGATTTAACAGGCCAATGGATATAAAATACTAAAAATGTACCTCATACCAATTAAGTGCTATAAAATGTTAGCTATCTTTATTGTTATTATTGTATGAGTCCAGTAAACATTGGCTGGATCGAACTAGAAACATACTAGGCTAGGTCACGCAGTAAGGATGTAGTTTCTGCAGGCAGCCCTCACTGAATCTTCCCTGCTAGTATGGCATCCGATCCGCCTGTCTCTCTCCCACTCCCTCCCCGCCTCTCTCCCACTCCCTCCCCGCCCCCCATCTTTCTTCCTTTCTCTCTCACACACACAGAATTCTAAAATCTGCCTCCAACTTGCTATGCATTATTCACTCACAATCTGTATTTTACTTCCTTTGAACAGTGAAAAAGCCTGTGTCAATTTATCTTTTAAAGCTGCTCCTTGCTGAATGCACATATGTCCATTAATGGTGACTGTGGATGGAACAGCATCTGTACAGGCCCGGCTCAAATGACCCCTGTTTCATATAAGCTGTGACTTCCCAAGGCTGCCGCTCATTAGTGGCTGCTTCTGATTTCTCCCCAGAGTTCAGACATAAGATGAAACCGAGAGTTTTTTAACAAAGACTCTACTGAGGTGGCTGCAAAACTGAGCACCTGAGCCTCGTATGAGGAGGAAGGAGCTTCGCAGAGGTACCAAAGAGGGAAACCTGGTACAGCGTTCCCCGGATTCCAGGTGGAATTTTCCTTTTCACATTTGAATGTAACCTGAAATTGGAAGGTGTCTTAAGTCCTCAAATGGATTTTAAGCAGTGTGTATCCCCACTGTCCCACCTGAAAAGTTGTTATTAAATTGATGGTACATTTTAAAACTGAGGAGACATGGCACTTTTGAATTAAAAAAAGTTGCCTAACTATAAGAAGCCCTGCATTAACTTTTGAGAAAAACACTGAAAGCCAGCTTAGAGGAGACAGTTTTTAACCACAGGGAAGAAAATAGGCTTGAAAGACAAGATGTCCACGTCATCAGGGGCCCTACTGTCCTTGGTCAGGCAGAAACCCGGCTGGCTGGCTCAGAATTGGTGCCTGTTCTTGGCAATAACCCAGCCAGAGCATAAATACCTAAGGTCTGTCCCAACCCACTGCTAAAAATACTTGGAGGGGAAGGAATTTCAAGGCTTGGTTTCTCTTTCTTTGAGAACCTCTATTGTTCTTCGAGCTCTTTTAAAGGCAATGAACTACATTTGGGAGTAAAAGTGGCTGTGAAAAGATATGGTGATCTTCTTATGGTAAATCAAAGTGCTTGTTAATTAATTAGTTAATTAATCCAACAAGTACTTACCGAGTTAACACTACTGAGCCTGGCCCATGCTGGTCACTCTGTGTATGTTGTCTAGAGAAACTGTCTGAGCAACCCTAATAAGACAGGATGGAGGGGGGGCAGGGCACAGCCACTCAAGGAATGACAGCAATTTAACACCAAAATGGTGGAAGATTCAACTCCCAGTTGGCCTTGAGGATTAATTTGGCAGGAGGTTTGACTTCTTGTAGACCTTGAGCTTCATTATATGCTCATTGTAACATGCCTGCAGGTGCTATGACAGCCCCAAGGCTGACCGCAAAAGGCCAAAGAATTGGCGGTGGCCCAATTCCTGGGAATCCCAGCCCCTACCCCAGAGTAGTTGGAACGGTCCCACCTTTAGGCATGTGAAGCTACTGAGCCCATAAAAACTGGCACCACCACCCCTAGCGGCTTTTTTTCACTCCCTCCTCTTTGGAGACAGCCCGCACTCTGTCTATGGAATGTGTACCTACTTTTACTTTAATCTGAGCACCCAATTCGCACACCTCTTCCCTTGCCTTTCTCTTGCTTTACATTCTATGCAGTGTGTATCTCTCTAAATAAATCTACATTTACTCAACTGTGGCTCACATTTGAATTGTCTCCTTCACAAAGCCAGGGACCCACACTTGGCAGGGCACGTCCTGGGGGCTCAACCGAGACCTGGGACATCCCTCCTCATGCCCCACATCCGTTTTCCTGCATCACTAGGAAGCAGGAATTGTACCTCTGCCCCATTTCCCAGACCTGGACACTGAAGATCAGAGAAGAGTGACGCCACCCAACCCACCAGGGTTGGGGCTGGCACAGCAGGATCAGCGCCCCGTCTGCTCGCCCCAAACCGCTGCTCTCTGCACCGCCTGCACCATTCAACGTGGCTTCAAGTTGCTTTCTTTCCCCAGAGAAGAAACTGGAGGGCCATGGGGATGGGATGGCAGAGTCAGGACTAGAATTTGGGACTCTGACTCCCAGCCCAAAGCTCTTCTTATGACTTTGTGTCAAAGCTTTTGAAAGTATGAAAAGCCATCTGGAGGGTGGGGGGAAAACATGAGGCAGGGTTTTCCTTAGTGATGGCTTCTTTTTTTCTCATGTTTACTAAATCCATCAAAGCTGTAAGCTCCACTCTGGGTCACCACGCCCCATGAGAACAACTGAGGCAGACAATTCACAGCGAGGGGTCGTCTTTGTGATTTACCTGAAGCTAAAAGATCAGCTCCTGTCAGGGATTATTTGACAGATGCAGAGAAGGGTCTCTTCTCTGTGGAACCCTAGCGGAGGCACAAAGCGCTGTCACCTGAGATTCTGGGCGGCCTCCGCCAAGCCCAAATCCCTTTCATAATTAGATGTAGTTATTCTTGTCCTTTGTCCTGGTCTGCACCGACAGTCAGTCTTTAATCCGGGAGCCATTAGAAAGGCAGAATAGTGAGGTCACCTGGATTAGCGGCTAATGAATTCTCTACCCTTTGTTCTGCTGATAATGGGATGAGACAATGAAATATTACTCTGAAGCTTGGGGGAGAGAATTTCCAGGGCTCAGGCCAGTGTGTTTTGCAAATTAGGTGGCAATATGGAGAGAAACCAGTTGTAAAGCTTTCCTGTTGTTGGGCAGCTGCAGCCACAGCTTGTTTCTTACGTCATCCTCTTTTAAAGGGGTCTCCCCACCCCACCTCCACGTTCCCAGGCCCCCACCCGGCTTACCTTGCAGTAGTGTATAGAAGGCACCTGAGGCAGACAGGTTGGTGGTTATGGTGACGTCGTCCTTGCTGGAGGTCTCTACCTGGACATGCACGGAGCTGTCTGTATCACTTCGGAAACTGCTCACCTGGCCAGTAGGGAAGGTCACATTTGTCAGGCGGCCAAAGCTGTCGTACCTGAAAACCAAGGGGTGGCTCTGAATAACAGAAACAGAATGGTGCTACTGCTGGAACTTGGCACGTTCTACCTTATGCCACGGTTTTGCACTTTCTGCTTTTCTTTCTGGTTGGATACATTTCCAAGTCTCCTGCATCTCCCTGGATACAACTCCATCTGCTGGTATTCAACTGTAGACAAATGACTTACCTCTCTGAGTCTTCCTTTCCTAATACCATAAAGTGGAGATGATAACCCCTGTCCTGCCCATGGCCTAGGATTACGGTGAGCAAGATGTGGAAGTGCCCTGTCGCTATGAACTAATACTCACCCACGAAGGGTGAGATGATGGTGCCCATGTGAGATGGCCGACCCAGAGTCTGAGAGCTGGGGGACTCCTGGAATTGAGCAGTCAAACTAGGTGCCTGCATACCCTTTAAAAACCCCCAAGAACTGATTACACAGGTTTCTCCTAAAGAGTGCTATAGATGGGGCTGCCTAGGAAGCTACAGATTCTGGAAAAGGGGACTGTGAATTCAAACCAGGATTCTGCGGACACATAAGCAGCCTAGACAGATGGGTTCTTGCAACCCCTTCACATCCAGATTTCACATCTGGCACCAAGCAGCTATGTATCTGTGGCGCTCAGAACTCACGGCTTCGCTCTGATGTGGTCTTTCTGAAGCATCACAGTTGAATCTTAATTCTCTTTACCATTCTTCTGATGCCACTAAAAGAAACACCTACCTTAACTGAATACCTACAATACAGTGTTCATATTGTTCAAGTATGGCGCTAGTCGCTTTTCATGCGTTCTTTCATTTAATCCTTACAATTAGTCAATAAAAGGTATATATTATCTCCTTTTTGGAGGAAGCTCAGAAAAGTGAAGTCACCTGCTCAAGGTCACACAGTTAATAGGTGTGAAAGAGTCAAAATTCGAACTCAGATCTATCTTTTTCCAAGCCACCATTGCCTCTCTGTCGTCAATGAGCATTTCCATCCTGTCCAGTCGCAAGTACCTGTTGTGTGTGCCTCCCTACCTGCTCAGAGTGGTTGGGAGATGGCAGGGAGTAGGCTATTCACCTGTTAGTTATTACTCATAATTAAGGGAGGCTCAAGTGGAAAAAGGTAGTTTAAATAGTCTTTTTGCACTTGTGTGTGAATGGGAAAAAAGTTCTTTGCATGGATGCCAATATTTTTGACTTCTACTCATGCTCTGACTAGTAGCATGGGTTCAGCTGTATGTCTCCCTCATGGACTCTGGGTCTCCCGCTGGACTTTTTTCCTGCTTGGCTTTTAATACTGGGGTAAAGTTGTTCTCTGGGGCCCTGAGGGTTTTAACCATGGTGAAATGAAAGGCCTGGAAGTTCAGCTCCATCCTGGCTCTTCTCATGATTCCTTCAGCTGGGCCTGGCTTCCTGATGGGACCCTGGCATCCTGCAGCTTCTATGGTTACAGGTTAGACTTAGTAGGTGAGACCAGGCAGGCCTTTGCTGAGCAATTTTCTGCTAAAGGTCAGATTTGGATGCTGCATCGAGTCTGCCATCTGCCAACTCTTTCGGTCGCGGTGGTTGATACCGATCAAGGTGTTCTTTACCCCAAATGGTAACAGTCCCAGGCACAGTCTGCCACAGAGAAGGTGCTGGTGAAGGTCTTTTGAACAAATCACCCCAGTCCTTGACCCAAGAGTGACTCTGGGTTAAGAGCCAAGGGGCTGTGAGAAAGTTGAAGCTCTCTGTTGCGGAGGCCTGAGGAAGGGGAATGGAATCTCTTTCCAAGATGGCAAGCAACGCAGGCGTCTCCACCACATACTTCAGGCCCGGGCTCAGTGGGGCAAGGCTGTGTGGCTGTATCAGTCCTTTGGGTTCTCTGAGGGGCAGTGAAGGGGTTTGGAAACCTGTCTCCTGTCATGATCTCTCAGGTTTCTTCTTTTGTACTGAGTCTTGTAAGGAAAGGTCAGTCTGGCTTAATGTGGGGCAATGGTGTGGCCTGACCTGGACTGGAGGGTGACGGGTACAGAGTGCTCCTTGGAGCTGGGTGAGGGGGAGATTTCTGAAAGGTCGCTGCAGGAAGGAAGGAGTGTCTTGGGGTAAAGATCTGGAATGTCTGTCCGCAGGCCTCTCTGACCTGGAGACTCTCTGTGAGAGGCTGGTATTCTTTTTAATGGCTGCTGGAAATTTGGACAGGAAGGAATTTCACAAAAACGTTTACACTGGCTGTCTCTGGGAGGTAGAAATACAGGTGATCTTAGTGGCTTCTTTATATGTATTTTATATTCCCAAGATTTTCTGTAATTAACATGGATTATTTGCATACTCAGAAAAGTGCTGGGACAACCCAAGTAAATGCCTCCTGAGCACCTTCACCAAGGTGACCTTTTAAATTACTGGCATTTATGGAAGAGTCTCACTTATAGGACATCTGTCAATATCAACCTCTCAGTCTTTTCAGTAAAATATTACTAGGGCACCTCAAATTTCTGAGCCCCAAATCAAGACTTCCCCCAAACCTGGCTCTGCCTTGGTCATCTTAACTGGATCTGTGATCTATGAGTAAGCCAGTGCTGTCAGATCCTGAGTCATGTTTGAAATCAACAGGAAGATCCCTTTCAGTCTAACAGTTTCATGGGATGGGCATGCTGTTCTGGTCTGGTTCTCTGAACACTTGTTATCCATGTACAGACTCTTTATTAACCTAACTTCCTGACCTAACCAGATAAAAATGATTTTACTATACCATGCAAGATACCTAAAAAGGAGTTTTGGAGTCTTACCAGTAAGACTTAATAGAGAGATTATTAATTAGGGGTCAGACGTCACCTCTATACTACTTGAATTAAGGTCTTGCTCAGATGCTACCCCTCTGAGGTCCCATGGCCCTTTTTCTCCCAGTGATGCTCTGCCACAGCTCTGTCACAGAATGTGTCCCCTGCACTGTAATAGCTGATGTATGACTTGTGTTCTGCTTTGGCCTCAAGAGTGCATGAGTCAGGACAGAGCTGTAGAGTCAGGTAGCCAGGCTTGGAATCTGGATTCTACCACCCATCTGCCAGCAAGGGGAGTGTGGCGGACTGACCCTTGGTTCATCTCAGCTTCCCCAGCATGCGGACTGGCACAGAGAAGACAGGTGGGGAGTGTTGCCTGAATGAATAAATGAATGCATGATTGGACATGGGAAGCCTCTTTCCTACTCTGTTGGCGAAGAGAGACTGTAATTCATTTGCACGCTCCCCTCTGCAGGACTTGACAGAGGCTGGACACACAGTCGGTCCATGATAAGCACCTGCTGAACGCACAAATAAGGGAACAACCGCTTTCACTAAACAATACTTCAGCAATCTCTGTCGTCATCTCCCCAGAGTTTTAGTCTCCAAGATAGAAAGAGGATTTGCATAAAGGCAGCCAATTGTAATTATTATTGAAGGTAGCCTGTAATACATAATTAAATTGAGCCTGAAGATGAGACAATGAAAAGGCCCCATGCCTTCACGATCTGGTTTTATTTTATATGAGATGGCCAAAAAACAGTAATTTCCACTCCTCATATCTTCCATTAGAAGGACTGAATGTCTTAATTAAATGAACATCAAACAGAACAGCCAGTTTATAGAATTTTCTCATCTCTTATTCATTCATTTCAGCGCCTTCTGGAGCTTGAGAAACACCCCTGGATCTCTCTGCTGCCTGATCAATACCTGTGATTATCCCATCAGAACGCTTCTGTTTCTGCCTGGGGAGGAGATGGCGCTGCCCATCCTCATCCTCTGGACCTTGACCTCTGCCCTGTGGCTCCCTCGGTGGGGCCCTTTCTCTTCCTGCTACAGAGCTGCTAAGAGCAAGGAGGCTGGTGCTGTCTGGCAGGGTGTTGGGGGCAGGTCTCTCTCTGCACTCCCTGGATTCCAGGTGGCTACCTCAAACCCTGGCCTCATGATGGATGACTTCTGGACGACAGCTTAGGTATGTCTGTTGCAGCTTTACTTAAATTTCTGGCCAATTTGCCTCCTTTTGATCAAAGAGGAACAGAAGTTGGTATAAGGAGGTCCTTGAAGCCTGGTGGTCTAGGCTTTGAATCCAGGCTCTACACTTGCCAGCCAGCAGCCCCAGAGGGTGGGCACTCAGTTCTGTTATTCTGCTAACCATCTAACCCCCACCACAAATGACATTATTTTAGGCAGGTTACATAACATAACTTTTGTGTGCCCGTTTTCTCCTCTATAAAACATGGATAATAATACCTATTTCAGAGAGATACTATGAAGATCAAACAAGGTAACACTTAAAATGAAACGCAAATTCCTCCCAAGTCCTGCCGGATCCCATGAGACTGCTCCCACTAGAATGGCAACTCCCTGAGGGAAGGGACTTTGGTCACTGCTGTATCCCCAGAACTCAGGAAGAGTGCCTGGCATGTAGAAGATGCTCAGTAATATGAATGAATGTTGGCTGAATGACCTGCCTCTTTCTGCCTCCTCTCTGATTTCACCTTGAACCCTATTCCTTTGTGCTTCCTGTGTTCCACTACATTTGCTGCTGTTCTCCAAACACGCCAAGCTCAGGCCAGGCTTGGGGCACTCACACTTACTGTTCCTTTGGCTGGGAGTGCTCTTCCCTCCAATCTTGGTAGGGCTATTTCCTTTGATTACTCATGTTTTAGTTCAAATGCTACTATTTCAGCAAGGCTTCTCCTGGTCACTCTTTCTGATGGGTCCTCTCAGCTCTATCACATTATCTTACTTGACTGTCTTCACCTCACTAATTTTGTTTATTTGTTTACTTGCTTATTGTCTGTCTTTTCCAGCTAGAATATAAACTCCATGAGGACAGGGACCTTGTTTGTATTCTTAGTGCCTAAAGCAGGACCCAGCAGAAAGAGGTACTCAATACATATTTCTTAGATGAGTGAATGTATAAATAAATAACAGTAGATATTATTGTTATTTTTTCAAGATTTGGGCTGAAAATAACTAAGAACTCAATCTTACTACTTTTCACCTTCCATGCAAGGAAGGGGAAGTTCA